ATTTATTTACTTTCTATGTTTTAAGGTGACGCTGGATATGCCTTAGCGCCTTATTTGCTAACACCTTACAGGAATCCTGAAGAAGGTTCAGTAGAAAGTTTATATAACTCGCGGCACTCTAAAGCAAGGAATATTTTTGAAAGGACGATTGGGGTTTTAAAGAGTCGGTTTCGCTGTTTGCTAAGTGCTCGCGCACTTCACTACACTCCTGCAAAAGCCACTTTGATCATAAATGTTTGTGCAGCTTTACATAATATTTGCAATCATTACAATGTACCATACGACGAAGAGGATATTGCAGATGTGCAAAATGAGAATTCGGAAATTGCAATAGAAACTTCTGAAAATGACTCTGCTCCTATGCGACAAGCTGCAGAAGAAATCAGAAGAAATGTACTGTCTTGTTTGCATTGATTTTTACTATATTTCTTTAGGTTTTTATCAAAAAATAATAAAGCTTCTTGCTTCAGGTGCAAACTCAGTTTTTTTGGTGTATACTTCAATATTTGAAAGGCTTTGTTTCATCTCTTTTAGTGTGGCCAAAGTTTCCTTTTGAAAGTCAGCCTGCTGATCCGTCTGCCGCTCAAGGAGTGCAATTTGTTTTTCTTCTCCCTTTTAGGGTTAGAGCTGCTATTTCGGCCATGCACTCGCGAAGGTATCACATTTCGCGAAGGCCCTGGGATATCGTGGTCTGAATATATTTCCACTTCCGTAACGGACTCATTATCGTCATTATTTTCTATTCCAAATTCTTCGCCTGGCGGATTGTTGTAAGTGGTGTAGCTCATTAGCCTGTTCACCGTCTCTTCCAGATTTGAGAGTGGAACTGTGTTATTTGGCCCACCTCCAGTTGCTAAATTCTCTGCGTGGTTGTGAGCGCTCTTTTTCTTTGTTTTATATTTTAAATCGTTCCAAACGTACAGTAATAAAATATTTTAGTCTTTCAGTTCCAAATATACGCACTACTAATATGCTTACTCATTGCCATGCATCTGATGATCGTGTTGGTGTTCCTAACGAGTTCAGCTCCTGAGTAATTTTTTCCCAACGTGGTTTCGCGACAGCTTTATGACATATTCCTCTTGCGAGGTCGGTATTCTCCTCCATTAGCGAAGCAAGACGCTCTAGTTGATGCTTTGTACTCACAACTCTCGGCCTAAAGAAATTTTTGAATTGGGTTTATAACTAGTCATAATCTATTTTTGCTCTTTTTAATACTTACATTATTCCAATTTCTCAAAATAATTAAGAAATTTTAATTTGGTATACTAGCACAGCAATCTATCGTTTAAAAATGGCGAACCGCTTGCAAGCATCTGAAATCGAACGGCTGAGACGATAGTTATCGTTTGGCAATATCATATTTTTACGATATACGACAAACGCTAACTATCGGATTTCATACGATAGACTTAGGGCCGTTTGCACCATGTCTAGTTAACGCTAACTGGAGGTCCATCCTTCAGTTAAGCACGTTAACTGCTTTATCGATCACATGTTATATGATGGGTGTCGATAACGTCGATAAAGATGTTTAACTGGGAGTTAAAATTAACTAGACATGGTGCAAACGGCCCTTAAATTCGTAATACGGGATAACAGAATGCAAGCGTTTATCGTGTATCGTATGAATTCATAATAGGGGGGTTACACACTTAAGCATAACATTCTACGTACACATACATACACACAGACGAACGAATAACGAAATGAACACTAGGTAAAACACTTGTATCACAAACGAATATGTAAAATAAAGTCAGTCGCAATCCAACCATTGTAGCGAGTTTACTGAAATATATAATATATATATATATTTTTTTCATTAAATGCACGCTTATATCGCAATAGAAATGGTTATTACAAATTAAACGAAATAAACTTGTTTTTTTTTGTAAGTTTTATTACGTTTCACCTGTGTGTAATCAAATCTTGCAATACATTTTTAATCAGCTTCCGGATGGGCTAGAGATTCGATACTTCAAGCTTAGCTCAGAACACGAGAACGAGACGATATGAAAGAAGAATTGATCTCCTACTTGGTCCAGGTATCGAGATATTTGGCAAACCCGTATTTATGGCCCGATTTGGTTCTTATTTGAAATGTATATTACATAAAAAGGAATAACTTTACGAACAATTAAACCGTTAGGTGGCTCAAAGTTGATTTTTCTTTTCTTCATTATGAGCTCAAAAAAGTCGGAAAGGAGCATATCGAGGGTTTATATTCAATACCCCTTATCTGCAATTTCCACAAGATTCAGCTTCTGATATAAAATCCACCTAAGAATTAAATGTCATCCACGCTTTCAATGCTAACGTTATAAATAGCTTGCTGGTAGCTTAAACTAGGTTCACATATAAGTAGATTATCCTCATTTTCGAGCTTAATACTAGGCTCACATATAAATAGATTATCCTCATTTTCGAGCTTAACACCCTAATCTGTAATTAGAACAAGAGATTAGCCATATAAAATACGTCCCTTGTTAAACTGTAATTATTAAATAATCTCAGATTTAACCGATAACTTGTCGGTGTCCATCCTAGCTTTATCGATTGTTTTTGCGAAAAAGAGCAGAAATGCCAAATGTAAAAGTAAACAAAAATGGACGCTAGCAAGGAAAAGAGGTTTGTAAAGGTATTTTTAATAAAATGTTAAGTTAAAATATATTTATATTGCTTATTATAGCATAAAAACGTGATCACGGTGGCACAGAGAAGAAACATAACTTTTCCTTGAGATGTGAGAATAACAAGCACAACAAATTTGACGGCTAATAATCTGAGATTTGCCTGTGTGAACGGGGTGATTTAAATACGAGCTTTGATTGCGATAATATTGATATGTTAACATAGTTTAAAATTCGTCCCTTGTTAAT